ATTTACTTTACATTTATTTAACGTTCTAATTCTTTTTTTTTTAATGTGCGTTCTGTGTAAATTCTTTTATTTTTAAATAACTTGCTGATCATTCTAATTTCAATTATAGCTTTCAGAATACTGATTTCGTTTGATTTTCAACTTTACACAGAAAATTATGCGAAAACTTAAGCTTTACATATTCAGGCAGTAGATTTTCTAACTACCTGGTTTAAGTACATGCTTACAGTTTCGTTTGTTTTCTCTTGCTTTTATCATTTCCCCTTGTATTCATTCCATCTCGCACAAACAAAGCCAGTGCAGCTTGAGTTTTACCCAGAACCTTTACCAAAAAGAAATGTTTAATTAACTTGTTCTATGAAATATAAAGCATTTTTTGCTTATATTAGTTTACAACGATTAGGTGAGAGCTAGAGTTTCCAGATGTATCTGTTAACATTAGCCCAACAGGCCGATAATATTGTCCAAAGAAACCTTGCATGTAGTTTGGTGAAATGTTTGTTTCCGTGCACACCTTTATAGACCGTTATAGAGAAAGAACGCTTGACGTTATTTCATTTTCCCAGTTTTTTAATGATCGTGTTTTCTTCTCTTCACGATGCCTGGCACGTTTTGGTGATTATTGCGCTCGATCGCAATCTGTGGGTTGCGGGATAGAAACTTGACATCGAACATGCTCGGACGTTCAGCCATGAGGGCGTTATAACATGACAATCAATTTCACTATTCGCTAGTAATAGAATAGCCCAAGAGTTGGTGGTGGGTGTTGCCAGCAGTAATTGAAAACAACGGTGATGGTGTGGATTTAACTCTGAAACGTATTTGCACTTATTGGATAACAAGTCGGATTCATGATCAGCAGTTTCATGTAATGTTATTGTCACATGATATAAACTGTTTAGTGTAGATATTATTCATTAATGTATTTTGTGATTTAGTTTTGTTCATTACAAGAGAGTTAGAAGCAATTATTTTAAAGTAAATGTTACGACAAGTTTAGTTACGTAACTCGGTAAGAGTCGTACGTTGTGTTTGTAACTCATTGATGTCGAGATTATCGAAGGTTGCATGAAATTTATTGATGTCGAGGATATAGCGAGTTAAAGAATAAGTAATAAACATTTAAATAGTGTGAGATGAGCGGGAAAGTAAACAGACAGACAAAGACAGACAGACGAGAAGTAAAGTAAAGTTACGGGAAGGAATTCGGCAATAGAAAAGTTAAACGCAAAGTTAATCGTCGTAAGAGTGGAAGGCTTAACGGTTGATATATTAGAATGAGACTAACGGTGTTGAAAAAGATAAGAAAATAAGTTTATTTCGTCAGACAGAGTTCTCAAGTAATTGAACTAGCCTCAGTGGACTTTGACAAATAGAAAGACGATTCTCGAAAATACAAAGAGGGAAAAAGGAGCAGACGATTTTAGAAGAATAGGATACAACCGGGGTAACTCGACGATAAAGTAAGTGAACTATACTCGGATAGTTTGGCGATGGTAATAGAGAATAATAGTTCGGCTTCTCAACTGAAATTCTACAGCAATTTAATAGGTTATGTGGACTTTTGACAAGAAGAAAATAACTATTTACAATTAAAAGCAATACAACGTTAAAATTTTACACAATAAATAATTATTAAAAACAGGGACGTGCCCTAAAAGTCTCTACATATATTGAAATTGAAAATAACAACAAAGATATTATATTAAACAAGGAAACTGGTCCAGGTATGGAAATAACATAGTACTGGACAGATGTGTTTTAACTCTGAATAGTTTGAGTCTAGATGGCGTTTTAATATGCAAATGATTATGTGGGTATATAAGTCCTAGCCTAACTTTTGCAGTTACTCCTGAAGGTAGTGTTATACAAACACCGAAACATATGTGTAGTATTTTAAGCACGTCCCCCTGTTTTTAATAATTATTTATTGTATAGATTTTAAAGTTGTATTGCTTTTAATTGTAAATATATCTTTTACACAAGTGTTGTTTTTAAATTATTTAACAAGAGAAGTATATAGTGTTTATGATATGTCTATGATCTCTATAGTGTAAAGAATATGTTTTACATACGTTTAACTAGTTCCGAATATATATATGTTATTTTGAAAACAAGTGGAGTGAGTGCCGTTCGTTGATTTTTGAATTTATCGCCAACAAGTCACAGACACCTACTGTAGAAGAATCTTAAGCCCAACACCAACAACACAGTATATATTTATACAATTAAGAAGTATAAGTAAAAGCCTTTAATTCAGAATTGGCGAACATAACTTAACATTTGACAGTTATCCTTCATTAGATATACAGAGGTCAAGAATATTACGATAAACATGTCTAATGCTACTTATTAATAAATTCAAAATTTCGTTAAACAGGACCAGTGAATTATTTAAAACAGTCTTTGACAGATTAATAATAAGCCTGACCTTTGGTTAAATTTATACAATTTAGGAATAGATAAATTATTGCAAACATAAATAACAATGTAACAACATGATCAGCCAATTTACTTGTAAGATGATAAGCATTAGTGTTAAATAATTCAAAAATTAAATTTCAAGCTTTATTTTTACGGATAACGCCAAAGCTACATTCTGATTTATCTGATTGTATTGTATTTAATCCTTGACTTAATTTGTAAATCAATGGAAGAGAGTAATTGGTCGGAATATTGAAATTAAAACTTTTTGTAAACTTCTTTAAATTTAACCGAAATTAAGTATTTCTTTTACAAAACTCAAAGTTCGCACTTGATGAATGAATCTAGTTTCAACATCTATTCATCAGATTTTTCCATTTTTTCGATAAGGACACTGCTATTATAACTTTTATACGTTTTCTCTTGTGTGTGTGTGTGTGTGTGTTACCAGACTTTCTGATCAATGGCTCGATATGTTTCCCAAACTATGGTTATCGAAAATGTCAGTGAAATAACGTCAACCAATATCTTCAAAAAATAATTTTATTTAGTTGATCACTATTATTCATATCATTTGAAACTAACAGACACTTTATTTTTTATACGTTGATTTTGGTAAAAGATTTTTTAAAAATCACTCATAAGTAAAACAGCTCGAGTTCTAAACTGAATCGATTTACTAATGATTCCGTTTTATCAACTCTATTCTATTCCTATGGTAAGTTTTATACGGTAACGATATTGTTACTATTAACTGTCCGCTGTTTTACCATCTTCCCATAACTAGATCAAAGTACCTTTTAACAGTACCTTTATCAACTCTTTTTGATTCGTATGGTAAGTTTTATACGGTAACGATATTGTTACTATTAACTGTCCGCTGTTTTACCATCTTCCCATAACTAGATCAAAGTACCTTTTACCAGTACCTTTATCAACTCTATTTGATTCGTATGGTAAGTTTTATACGGTAACGATATTGTTACTATTAACTGTCCGCTGTTTTACCATCTTCCCATAACTAGATCAAATTATATTTTACCAGTTACAATAATTTTTCTCTTGAGAGCATAGAAGAGCATATATTGTACCAGGCAGTTTGTACGCAATTTTGGTTCCGACTATGAAGGTCAACGCAATATAGTTATAAATATATATATATGTTTATCTGAGACTTAACGACAAATTGTCAAAGTGCTCCATCACACTGCTTTGTAATATCATTGTTGGATGAGTATTTTATAAAATGAGGGGCACATTGAGCCCCAATATCAAAAAGTATTACAAATGGGAACTAAAAATAAGAGTGACAATAGCAACAACATCCAAAACGAAAATTAAAAAAAAGACGTAATCCTGACTTGGAATTTCTAATGAGAGTACGTGCTTACTACGTTATTCATAAAATCCATCAATCCGGATGCAGGCGAAAGCGACGAAGAAATTACTGAGAGTATTTTATTGATAAACTGGCTGAAGCTGTGCTTAAATATTTTAAAACTAGAAACACCTAAACCTACATTTTTCACGTGTATACATTATCAAACTTCTCGTCTTTATAATTATTGATAAACTGGCTGAAGCTGTGCTTAAATATTTTAAAACTAGAAACACCTAAACCTACATTTTTCACGTGTATACATTATCAAACTTCTCGTTTTTATAAACCTCAATATCAATATTATCTTTATAGTAACTGATTTCCAACTTTATTATATGAGTATTTTTATATTTTAAACTTTACTTATATATCTCTAATTTCATTACTTAAGGTAAGATTGAGGCGATTGGATATCAACTGGTGTCTTTATTAGTATACTAATAAAGTATAATTAATAATAATAATAATTTTAATAAATTAATAATAATTTACCATATAGAATATACCATAATCATATAGAATTTATTAAGTAAAGTCCTACATTCAATCTTTATGCTCCCGGAAGTGAGACTGATGCCTCAGCTTGTCAATGTATAACTACTTATATGTAAATGATCCTATAAAGATAACCATTTGTTATTATGTACCTTAATATTTTTTATATTCTATATGGTACAGTATGATTAGGGTGGAGAAGTTTGGTACAGTATGATTAGGGTATACTATATGATTCCTTGATTCTAATGATTAGTTAGTTATTTTTTATTAGTAGTAGATATTAATTATTGACTATCTTATATCCTACCTTCCGGCTGGTGTCTTCAGAGAGAATTTAGAAAGATCAGTATTTGTGGATTCAACCCTGGGTCTTCTTGATAGGAGAGCTGGAGTACTCTCCGCTCGTCTGGGATCTTCCCCACTAGGACAAGAATCAATATACTACGTGTATGCTGTTTGGAAATATCTTTTACTCACACAGTAATTCTATTATGTGATTATTTTGAAGTGGGATATTCAGGTTTTACTGACTTCTATTCCAAGTTGACTGAGTGTGTTATCAGTTAAATGGATGTAGAAAGCCTCTTTTGTCTTTATTTTTCTCATGTGTGTGTGATGAATTTCACATTATTTCGTATTATTCGACTTTGTTGTATGGTCTTTTTCCCTGGTATGATGAGATGTTGTTGATAGATCAGTATCACAGGGTCGTGTGTGGTTATTATGCTCTTGAATGTTTTGTTTCTATATTATATTTAGTTGTTTCTTTGTTTGTTATGAATTTCTCGCAAAGCTACACGCTAGCCGTCCCTAATTTAGCATGGTAAGACTAGAGAGAAGGCAGCTAGTCATCACCACCCACCGCCAACTCCTAGGTTACTCTTTTACCAACGAATAGTGGGATTGACCGTCACATTATAACGCCCCCACGACTGAAAGCATGTTTGGTGTGACGGGGATTCGAACACGCGACCCGCAGATTGCGAGTCGAGCGCCCTAACCACCTGGCCATTATATTTAGTGTCCATATTCACAAGTAACATTGTAAATGGTGTTTTTCTTTTCCACTGTGTCCAAGGAGGTTTGATGAGTATTAATTGAGACTGTTCAGTATTTGTGGTTTGTGAATACTCTTAGACTATGTTGTTTGCATATCCTCTGTATGTTTTCAAAACGACCTTTGACATACGTAATATGGTTATGTGTCTTATAATATCTTCCTGCTTATTGGTTGTGAATTTTTCTTCCTTTTCTTCTTTATCAAGTGTTCACATCCATTGTCGAAGAAGGCTGCAATGATGTATTTTCTTCCTTCTTCTTAATATCTTCCGTGTTACAAATCCTCTTCAGTCTGGAAACTAGGTAGTTTATGATGCCTATTTTTTTAAATATTTTTAAGGTTAGTTTATTAATAGTCGAATTATTTTTCAATAATTATAGGTTTATTATGGTACATGAGTAACTATCACGTCTTGGAATGTTAGGTTGTTATCTTTTTTTATCTTCTGTTGTGAATTGTAACACTATATGTTGTCTGTTCAGATGGATCATGTATTCTAGAATATTGTCTGTTCAGATGGATCTTGTATTCTAGAATATTGTCTGTTCAGGTTGATAATGTTTTCTGGAATATTGTCTGCTCAGATAGATCATGTTTTTTTAGAATATTGTCTGTTCAGATGGATCATGTTTTCTAGAATTTTGTCTGCTCAGATGGATCATGTTTTCTAGAATATTGTCTGTTCAGATGGATCATGTATTCTAGAATATTGTCTGCTCAGATGGATCTTGTATTCTAGAATATTGTCTGTTCAGGTGGATCATGTTTTCTAGAATATTGTCTGTAATATGTGGCTATATTATAAATGCATTGTCAACATATTTCAATCAAATCCTGGAAGGCACTATTTTTTAAATGTTTCATGTTAAGATTTCTGAGTATTGGTGATAGAGGTGAGTTAACAACAAGAAGACCTAGTCATGGTCTCAGTCTTATCACCTATCAAGAGGACACAGGATCGAACCCGACTCCTTTGACAAGAAACAATTTCTCAAGACTCCTCTGAAGACGGCAGCAGATTAACAGCTGAAAAGTAGGATATGAACTAATTAGTAATGAATATCTAGGAATAAACATAGTAACTAATCAATATTTATATTTCGGTGATTATATAGGCTATGAACGATCTATTTTCAGTATCGAACAACAACAACAAAATAATTGTCCAATTTTCTCGCAAAGTTTCCTAGTTTTATATTAATTTAAACATTAGTGTAATTGCTTATCAGCTACATAACCAGAAATGATGTTTTAAGCCTTTCAACCTTAAAAGTTTTATTAACGTTATTCGTTTTACTTAACCTCGTGACATTCATGTTCTGCCTGCTGTAATGTAATAGATTTAGCGAAATTTCTCTAAGATTAGAGGGTAAACACTTTATGCTAAACTTGAATAATAGATTCATTTAGAGCTTATTCTAAATTAGGTACAGTGTTATAGAATATAATTGTTATATAACTTGAATACCATATTGCAACACAGACTAAATACCATTTAATATCAACAACAAATGTTTACGAACGCAAAGCATAAAGCATATTAATGACAAAAATTAATTAAACAATATCTGAGAATACCGATGATGAAACACTTTCGGTATTTTCTAACGAGGAAAGATTATTAATTCAAACTGCTAGTTTAGCTTGTAACAATTTTTCGATGAAAGTATGACATTGATAACAAAAGGGCCTTTTAAGATGCAATGATAAATTATGTTAATATATGAAAGAAAGTGTCTTTATATTAAAACTGAAAGGCTTAGGCTAACATATCTACGTTTTATTACACAAATATTACACTTTTCTTGTTTTATTGGCTATTTACACATTTTAAAGCTCCGCTTTCGTTTCGAATTTTGATTGTTTATCAGACAACAATTTGGATTGTTAGTGACATGCGCACGAGACCAAATATATACAGCAATCTAAGGGAGGATCCCCGAAACTTTCTCAACAGAAGCCCTTCCACAATGAATCTACAGTATTGAGTACCTTAACAATATCGTGTATTTTTATGTATTTGCTACAGCCACCATGATACTTTCCTGCAACGTCCAGTTTGGGCACCCCTGATTTAAGGTAACGCATACTATCTGCTTAACACAATAAATTTTGCTTTAAAATGCAACGGTTCGTAGTTTTGTGATAATTTACTAAATACCTTAATATATGTACGTGTTACAAAATTCAAACATTTTCAACAAACTTGTTTTTAATTCACTCACTGAATGAATATATACTTATATTTATAATAATAATCTAACTGACCAGTATGTTAAGTTAACAAACTTGAATAATGCGTATAACGACTACGCTGGCCATATGCCTATGATGTTATATCGCAATAAGACTTGACTGTTAATAGTTTTAATGACGTCATTCATTACCAGCCCAATACTGGTTTCCATCGTATGTAATCATTCAGCTGAGTATTGTGTACAACGCCTAAGCAAGTCAACTATGATTCGTTTCAGATAAATTTGCATGTTTATTAAATCACAATAACATTGAAAATAGTTTTAATCACACTTTTTCATTACCGGACAAATTAGTGTTTTTTTGGAATATTTGGTAAAACATTACGAAGTCCGATCCACGTAAGGATAATGAATTAGTCTATTTCTTCAATAACGATTTATACAGGCTACAGGCTAGGTTCATTACTAGGGCTAACTTTACAAGCAAGGTTTCAAAAGAAATTCCTAAGCTAATTGTCCTTAACTTACAAATAAACCTACTTGTACTAATTTTCTACTTACTACAGGAAGCTATAACATTCTGCAAAGGCCTAAATTTTCATGAAATTTCTAAATTTCACCAGTCATTACTAATGTAAAACTCTCCTTCTAGTGAGCAAAAATACTAAAATGATACAAATACAGCCTACAATACTACCACTTTCTTGAATTGTGAAGTCCCTTGAACAATATTAATGGCCCGGCATGGCACGGTGGTTAGGTCGCTCGACTCGCAATCAGAGGGTCGCGGGTTCGAATCCCAGTCCCACCAAACATGCTCGCCCTTTCAGCCGTGGGGGCGTTATAATGTTACGGTCAATCCCACTATTCATTGGTAAAAGAGTAGCCCAAGAGTTGGCGGTGGGGGGTGATGACTAGCTGCCTTCCCTCTAGTCTTACACTGCTAAATTAGGGACGGCTAGCGCAGATAGCCCTCGTGTAGCTTTGCGCGAAATTCAAAAACAAACAAACAAACATAAACAATATTAATACACAAATATACCAGTACACTGAAATTAGAATTCCATAATTAGCAATAAAGCCATTATTTAGAATTTAAAAAAAATTAATATTCACAATTAGACATTACAATGACTATATTATTAATCAAATATGCTAAGCAAAGTGTAATAAAAATTCCGACTAACAAAACAAAATTTTAATAATTTCTTATTTTACTGTGTCTAAACTATCCAGTCTCCAAGTTGTTTTGGTGTTTTTCTCTTCTTATGCTCATTGTACGTAGATGGGACGAAATCTTTCCCTTATCGACATTTGCTGTCCTGTCACTGGTTGTTGATCTTCTGGAAGTGGTCTCAAGAGGAACCCTCGTTGTCTTTCACTGACAAATTCTTCACTCAAATTACTCATTTGGTCATTCCCTTACTGACATACTTCCAAAGAATATCATGGTGGATGACCTTCGATTTGGACTACTTGTTCTTATGGATTCTGTAAACCATGGCATTGATTCTTTACAGTTCAGCATATGGTCCTTCTCAACACTTGCTTAACTTTGAAGTTTGTCCTTTCTTGCCGTGGGGATTGTACAACCACACCATGTTATCTCGATGAAATCTAGTCTTATCAAGATTAACATTATAACAACTTTTCATTTTGTACATAGCTGATTTAAGTCTTTCCATGTAAAGTCATGTATGACATCAATGGTGTTTCTTAATATCTATGCATATTCTGTGCAAGACTTTGCTACGTGATTATCTTCAGAATGTGAATACATAAGTTTCAATTGCACTTTGAGTTTTCTCTTAAACGTCATTGATGATGGTATGTTTCATGTGGCTTCATATACTGCTGTTTGATGACTCATCAGTAGCAGTAGAAATGCTTTATTTCACGTTTTATGAATTTTATCCACAAATATCTCCAATTGATTTAAAAGTGCATGGTTGTATCACTCCACCATTCCATCAGAAAATGGATGAAGGTATATTATCCTGTCATTTTAATTCCAGGGATTTGACACATTTTCACAAACAAGCCTGGTTCATAGTTTCATCCCTGATCTAAGTGAAGTTCCACAGTCACCAAACTCTTGAAAATATACATTGCTTTCTCTGACATCCTTTGAGAGGAGTTTATATTTCTTACATGCACTTGAAACACTTATTGTCTTGTAGTTTATTTCCTCCATTTATTGTATCTAGTTGTCTAATTTATCCTTTCAGTTTTTTTTAGACTATCGCCAGGGGGAAGTTAATGTTTCAATAGTACTTGATCTGATTATCCCATAACTTCTAGTTGATGTTTCAATAGTACTTAATCTGATTATCCCATAACTTCTAGTTGATGTTTCAATAGTACTTGATCTGATGATCCCATAACTTGTAGGTTGCCTTTAGTTGTTTATCTAAGACTTCAATGAATTCAAGTTCCATCATCAACTGGAGAGTTACATTCAAAAATGTACAGCTATTTTGCTTCAGCCAATTCGCATATCCTAGTCTGTTATAGCATCCATAAATTGGTCATA